ATTCAAAGATTAATCTTATTAGGAATGTAAAAACAGACAGCAAGAATTTCCACAGGTTTTTAAAAAGCAAAAGTGTATGTAAAATGAGTGTTGGTCCTGTAGAGATTAAGAATGGGAGTTAATTGTAAATAATAACAAAATGGCCAATAAAACTAACAAACAATTTGCTTCTGTCTTCACTATAGAGAACATAAAAGAAAACTTTCCCATTATAAATGAGGAGGTGGAAGGAGAGATGAACTTAATGAAATTACAACCATGAGGAAAGTGGTACTAAGCAAACTGATGCACCTGTGGGCTGATGGGTTCTTGGATACAACAAGTTTCATCCTAGCACCCTAACAAATGTTATTAATGAGATATCATACGTATTAATGTTAATTTACTGAAATTCCCTAGATTCTGCAAGTGTTCCACTGAACTGGAAAGTAACACCTGTAAAACAGGAAGGAAGTCAAGAAACCATAGACTAACTAGCTTGATGTTTGTCATGAGGAAGGTGTTAGAATTGATCATTAAATAGACTGTAGCTACATGATTAGAAAAACACATGGTAGTCAGGAAGAATCTTCATGGTTTTGTCAAAGGAACATCATTCCAACCAATTTTTTGGAGTACTTTGAAGGAGTAATATGTTCTGTGTGAAAAGAGGCAGCCTGTAGATGTAATTTACTTGGTTTCCAGAAAAAAATTGACAAGGTTAGTGCAGAAGATAAAATCCCATGGTTTAGGATAAACATATTAGCAAGAATAAAATGTTGGCTGGCTGGCAGAAAACAGATGCTATGCATAAATGGGTCCTTATCTGATTGGCAAGAGGAGAGGTTTGGCATCCCACAGGAGTCTGATAATTTACATCAATTACTGAGAGAATTGAAGACATGGTACATAATTTTGCAAATGACACTAAATAGGCAGGAAAGTATTTTTGTAAAAAAGGACATATAAGAGGTTGCAATGGATTTATATCAGTTGAGTGAGGGGTCAAAATCTGACAGAAGGAGCAAATGCGAGAAAATATGAAGTTGTTCACTTTGACAGGAAAAAAGTAAAAATCATACTACTTCTTAAATGGAAAATGCAGAATACTGAAGTACAGAGAGACCTTCAGCCATTCTGGTGTGAGAGTCACAAAAAGTTAGTATGCAGTACAGCATGGAATCGAGAGAGCTGATATGATGTTATCCTTTATTATGAGAATAACTGAGCATAGAAGTAGGGATGATATGTTTCAGTGAGACAAGGCATTGGAGACACCACATACTAGGCGTAATTTTGGTCGAATTTATTAAAGAAGGATTTAAATGTGTTCGAGGCAGTTCAAAGAATGTTCACTATTTTGATTCCTGAAATGAGCAAGTTCTCTTATTCAGATAATCTGGAAGGACTCGTCTTGTTTCCATCAGATTTGAGATACGTAAAAGGTGACTTGAATGAAGTGTAAAGATCCTGAATGGTCTTGACAAAGTGCAAATGGGAATGTTATTTTCTCTTTTGGTTCAACCCGGAACTAAGTCAAAGATAAGGAAATTATTTTCTCCCTCTGATGTTTTTGCAATTTTGGAACACTCTGCCCCTGAAGGCAGTGAAGGCAGGGTCCGAGAATATTTTTAAGATAGAGGTAGATAGATTCTTGTTAGATAGGGTAATCAAGGTTATCAGTAATGGATGGAAATGTAGAATTTGAAACATGAATAGACCAGCCATGATCTTATTAAATGACAGAACAGACTTGATGGTCTACTTTTGCTTCATATCATAAGTTTGTCAGTCAGGGTGCTGTGGAGACATCTGTGGAGTAGCTAGGCTATGCTCAGTCATTGCTAACTTCACAATTCAGTCTGGGTTTAGACCACAGCCAATGCTAGGGGTGCTGGGTATTAATGGTCAGAGGGCTCAGCAGAAGTATTCTGCATGATACTAAGTCAAGTAGGGAGCTTAAGTCTGGATTAGGGTTCAATGGATTGGGATGCTGAAGAAATGATGATGGTTAAAGGCAGCAATTTTAAGATTGAAGGATGACATTGTTCAGAGCATTGGAGGGGATGTGGGGATGTAGAGATGATAGGGTTAGTTGTGCATATTTCACAATTACCATCACCTGAAAATGAGGAAATTTTATGGCTTCATGGTCAACAAGGGCATTGCAATTCACAAAGCCAAAGGTTCAGGTGGTAGATGAGGAACATTATCAGTAATAAAAAAAAGGAATGAATAGAAACCATGAAAGAATAAAATGTATTCGATGTTGCAGGGATAGTGAGACAAAAGGGAACATGAAGGTCAGAGTGATTATCATTAACCTCAACTGACATTTGAGAACAAAAGGTTGAAATTTTGCCAACTTTGCACCAAACTAAATTGTGCAAAAAGGAGACACAATGGCTGCCACCACATGAAATGTGGGTTGAATGAATTACTGTTATACACTTTGGGGATGGAGTGATTCTTTGCATGTGAGGCCATGCTAGGGGCAATTGTATTGCTTATGCTTCTGCTGATTCAGCAATGCCACCCATCTATCAGTAAATTGCATTCAATTGAAAGGTAGCAACCATTTAGGCAACTGTTAACATTAAAAGTTATAGCCTCAAACAATTATGACTACTATGTACGTTGTTTCAACTGGCTCCCTGTAATGTCATATATGCAAAGCTGTGTAGCTGTATATTCTCATTTGGCATTGCCATTTCTACATGCTTTTCATACTTTACACTGGAACACAATGCTTCAGAGCTGCCATGTTCTTACACATGACTGTAAGTCTACAATGATTAGTGATTATTTCATCACTAATCTGAGATGGAACCAGCATTTGGAGGATTTCTTGTGGTGTTGCAGACTATGAGTCGATAGCAAAAAAGATATCAATTACATGGGATTAAGGGTGATTTAGCGGTTTGGATCAGAAATTGGCTAGCTGTAAGAAGACAGAGGGTGGTGGTTGATGGGAAATGTTCATCCTGGAGTTCATTTACTAGTGGTGTACCTCAAGGATCTGTTTTGGGGCCACTGATGTTTGTCATTTTTATAAATGACCTGGATGAGGGCGTAGAAGGATGGGTTAGTAAATTTGCGGATGACACCAAAGTCGGTGGAGTTGTGGATAGTGCGGAAGGATGTTGCAGGTTACAGAGGGACATAGATAAGCTGCAGAGCTGGGCTGAGAGGAGGCAAATGGAGTTTAATGCGGAAAAGTGTGAGGTGATTCACTTTGGAAGGAGTAACAGGAATATAGAGTACTGGGCTAATGGTAAGATTCTTGGTAGTGTGGATGAGCAGAAAGATCTCGGTGTCCATGTGCATAGATCACTGAAAGTTGCCACCCAGGTTGATAGCGTTGTTAAGAAGGCGTACAGTATGTTAGGTTTTATTGGTAGAGGGATTGAGTTTCGGAGCCATGAGGTCATGTTGCAGCTGTACAAAACTCTGGTGTGGCCGCACTTGAAGTATTGCGTACAGTTCTGGTCACCGCATTATAGGAAGGATGTGGAAGCATTGGAAAGGGTGCAGAGGAGATTTCCCAGGATGTTGCCTGGTATGGAGGGAAGGTCTTATGAGGAAAGGCTGAGGGTCTTGAGGCTGTTTTCGTTAGAGAGAAGAAGGTTAAGAGGTGACTTGATAGAGGCATAAAAGATGATCAGACGATTAGATAGGGTGGACAGTGGGAGCCTTTTTCCTCAGATGGTGATGGCTAGCACGAGGGGACATAGCTTTACATTGAGGGGTGATAGATATAGGACAGATGTCAGAGGTAGGTTCTTTACTCAGAGAGTAGTAAGGGCGTGGAATGCCCTGCCTGCAAAAATAGTAGACTCGCCAACTTTAAGGGCATTTAAATGGTCATTGGATAAACATATGGATGATAATGGAATAGTTTAGGTTAGATGGGCTTCAGATTGGTTTCACAGGTCGGCGCAACATCGAGGGCCGAAGGGCCTGTACTGCGCTGTAATGTTCTATGTTCTATGTTTGTTGTGATCAAGCTCAACAAGATCAGGAACTTCCAGCAGCTGTAACACAACTTCCAAAGAGAGAATTAGCAGCTGGATATTTCCTTAAGAGGATGAGGTGAATGATCAAACCCCAAGTAAACCCAATTTGGTGCCATTATCTACAACTGTCAGAGAATGAGCACCAATGAGGCATTAAAGGCTCTTGTGGCACAGTGGTAGTAACCCCACATCTGAACCAATAGGCCCAAGATTAAGTCCCACCTACTCCAGAGGTGTGTCGTAACATCTCTGAAGAGGTTGATTTGAAAATATCTACAGATTTTTAAGATGGCACCAGAGAGTGGCAACACCACACAAATGTTTCACTGTATTTTGTACAAGATACACACAACAATAAATAAATCAAAAAGAAGGTGGAGATAAAGGATGTTCCAGCCATCATCACTGAACTGTGTTATCTGCAGGGGCAGCATTTGGAAGGAATGGGTGGCCATGCATTCTGGTATTCAATCAAAGGTGACTGATGTATGGAATTTTATATCAGCTTTGAGACAGCTATATGGCTTCTTCCAATATTCAGTCCACAAATGCATCCAGAAAGTAACAGATGCTATTTGTTCTAGTTGAGAACTATTCATAATTTTCCTCAATGCCAGGGAGTCAAGCAGCCTGAACAGTGGGATGATTGCATAAAAATGGCAACATGTGTCAAGCAGACCACCCATCATGAATCTTCCTGATAAAAACACTTTGTCCAAAAATGACAATATGAAGCATATAATTTGTATTCTGTGCTTATTGATGTTGCTGTAGATTACATATACATAACTGACTGACATGGATATACTGCACTGATTCAATGATACAGAGAGTGACTGAATATGAGGTGGATACCTTTATACCAGATCATCGTATGCCATAATGTCATGTTTTAAAGGTGTACATTTTTTCTGCCTGATTGGAATCTATGCCTTAATACAAAAACCCAAAGTATCTCTAGTTAAATTCTGTTAGGATTTCTGCACATGAGTATTAGGTACTTACGTTGGCTTTATTGTAAATCTGTGTTTTTCATGTATATATGCTCCTGCCAAGGCTCCAGCACCAGAGTTCAAATACTGTAAAATATATTAAAAAGGGGTGATTTGGGCAGATTGATATTCATTTCACTTGACTGGATGAAACGATTTACTACCAATTGCACTGAAGAAAAATACAGGAGAATTCATTTTACCTTGTAATTACACCAACAGGCAAAATCTACGTTCCAGTCATGCAGACACAGCTCTACATTCCCAACAGCATGAGCAAGGTCAAAACCAACATAGCATCCCTGTAAAGCACAAATTGAGTAGTATTTTAGTTGAAAATACACAATGAAAGTATGAATTATGCTAACGTTGGAGGATTAGAGTGTAAAAGAGGTTTATATTTGCTACCTTATCTCAAACTCTGTATACATTTAGTAAAATAATGCTATCATTAAAACAACTTTTTAAATTGATCTTGTTTTGTACTGTGATGAAGTAAAATAGTTGTCAACAAATGGAAAGGGTGCTTAATAAAAATTGCTTAAGTATATTTTTCTTTATTTGTCCTCAGTGATGCCAAGAAGCCTGCTTCCACAGGAATTTGAACACTGTCCTTGAGATGGCTGTTAGAAGAATGCCACAGATTAGCTTGTTTCTTTCAGTGTCAGTGTTTTGGAACACAAAGCTAAGCGGGTGCCACTTAATTTTTTTGAAGTGGCATTTAGCTCTGAGGGCGTAGACCTCGGAGAGTGGGGTTGAATAATGATGTTTTTATCACCTCATTGAAAGGAAAGGATAATCTTTGCAAATGTATTTCACTTACATTTGCAGTTTAATTGGATAAAATCTCTTTTCTAAAGAAGTCTTCCTTCCTTGGTGCTGCTCTGCATTCTGTTCACAAAGGGACAGATAATCATTGTTGGGAATGTGACAGATCTGATACAAGGTTCCTTTATGTCAACCTTAGATGTGATGAGTGAATATTATTAATTTAGCAGGAGTAGGTATCTATTTCATTCTGAAGTGGCTATCAAAAGTACACAGTCATTTAATAGGCCAGCATTCAAAAAAAAATGAAGCACTATACAGTTAATAATTCCCTTTAATAACCATTCATTTTAGCATAGTGCCCAGGAATGAAAGCCACACTGATCTTTGCAGAGATAAATGAGGAATTCACTTATACAGACAGCAACTGATGTTACTGAAGGGAGGAACGGTTTTTCACCTAGCCTGAAATATTGGCTCCTTCTGACTTTTTGGGTGTGCTGTGCAGCTAGTTCCCAAGAAATTAAATTTTGTTTCAAAAATTACGACATTCTCATTAATTATATAGAAGTATAAAAGATGGAATCAGCTTGTATTTAAACTGCCTTCCCGTGAGTGTACAAGTTACTAATGCAGAATAAAATGACATCAAGTCACTGAAATTTAACTTTTGGTGAATCAGTTCACAGTTCAAAGCCACTTATGGAAACACAGAAAATAGGAATAGGAGTAGGCCGCTTGGCTCCACGAGCCTAATCTATCACTCAACCTGATCACAGCTGATCACTTTCCTGCATTTTCCATGTAACTCTTGATTACACTACTGTGCAAGAATCAATCTATCTTGGTCTTAAGTATACACAAGGACTCTGCCCTACAGCTCTCTGTGGCAAGGATTTCCAAAGACTGAGAACCCTCTGAGAGGAGGCATTCCTCACTCTTAAATTGCAGTCCCCACCCCCTTCTTTATTCTGAGACTATGCCTTCTAGTCCAAGATGCTCCCGTGAGGGATACACCATCTCAGCATTTAACCTGTAAAGCCCCTTACGAATTCTATATATTTCAATCAGATCACCTCTCATTCTTCTAAACTCCAGTGAGTAGAATCCCAAACTGTTTAGCTTTTGCCCATAAGACAATATTGATCTTTGTAATGAACATACTCAATGACTGGTCCTCGACGTTCACCATTTGATTCTCTTGATTTTGAAAAGATTAAGGTTCTTTCCATCGCCAAACACAAGTATTGTCCACACACCACTGGAGCATGTTCTTTCAAATTGGCCCCTTGAGAACCTGCACTCAGCCTGCAAAAAAAATTCAACCTAAAATGATGCTGACAGGATATCTTGTTCTCACTCTTTATCAAGTCAGGGAATCATAATTGACTTGGACTTCAACAACCAGCAAGATGATATTTTGTTCATCCTTGCCTAGATGATTTAAACACTCAACAGGATCTGTGTGATTTGATGGGTGGCATCATTGTGCATGCAAAATGCTTCTATATAATGAAAGAAGTTCACCAAGGAATGCAATCTATCATCCTTCTTCAGTTTCTACTAGAGAAGCATACCAAAGCATGACAAATCATGGAGCAGTCCCTGAAATGAAGTTCTTACATAAGTTGACAGCTCTGAATAGGATATCAATCTGTAGAATGAATGAATGAATCTATAACAGTTCAGTGAAGATTACCCAAAATTGCAGCCCTACAAATTAAGAAATTGAACACTTTCAGAAATATACGGACATTAGCAATAGACCAAGCAAGATGATGGTTCACCAGGACCTGATCCCTTATTCACTGTATGGGGTAATATAAAATGCAACAGACTATTTATTTAGAAATATCTTGACTAGTGGGTTCACTTTTCCAAAATATTTTCTGAGGGTAACTTCAGATGTGCTTAATTACTATACCACAAACACAGTGATGCCCAGTCTGTAGGAATAAATAAGCAAAGTTTGTTAGAATTAGCTCTGCCTAGCATACTTTCAAGGCTGCAACCATCAGTAAGGTTGTCATGTGGACATGCTCTCAACTGTATGGCTTGTGTATGCACAAAGAGTTTCCTGACATTTTGGAGTAACCTATAACAAACAGTGCCTTTATATTGTTATCCTGCACTGCACAAAACTGCACACAGTGAAACATGTGATCTTAATTCACAAGTGGGGAAATGGTTGTATGCATCTTCAGAGGAAATTGTGTAAGTGGACTGAGGCAATGGCTACCATGAGGTCAAGTCATATCGAGCAAAAGCCTACTTAATTTAAACAGTCAACGAGTGAATGTACACTTGCTTATTTTTGTTAAGCTGAAGTCCTACTGCTCACTGTCCTATTACAAATAGTAGCATGCCTGTCCAACATTTCAATTTATCAAGAAAACTTTGGTTAGCGACTGTAGTACTGACAATCCCCTGGGATCGGTAGATGTCAATTACAGACTACTGATGTCAAAACCATGGCAAATCAACTGGACTAACACCTGTATCCTATATAGCTGACATTAAATAACAGTGTCTGGAATTTTCATTTGAATATCTAGCCTGCCCTATCCATTGTTACATTAATGACAACTCTAGAGAAATGGCTACTTGTCTCATCGAAATGAGATTATTGTAAGAGAGAACAAAAAACGTGTAAACGTTTTATTTTCCGACCCTGTGAGATACAACATTGTGCTATTAGTGCACTAATTGTAACCAATGTTGAGCAAAATGATGAGACACCAATCTCCTGTTCCAGTTGTAATTCGGATGCAACTGCAGTTGGGAATTTTAGATGAATCCTAAGCACTTCTTGTCAGGGATGCTAGCAGAATATAGTCAAACTACATTGAAGGCTTGCAGCTTGACACCAAGATTAGTACTGCAGCAATTTTTATGGAAGAAAATTGAAATTTTGCAATTTGTATAAGCTTACATGGGGAATTATTACCATCTAAGACACCAGATTATGACAACTGCTGTACGGACACACCAGAGAAACACTGGCATGTATTTAGTATCTTGTCAGGTTTATCAAAAATTGACACAAAATACTTCACACAGATTAAATTAATCTTAAATGCAGAGGCTGTTATGTAAGCAAATGTAATTCTATTTGGCAAAAATAAATTCATGTGAGCTGAACGGCAAGTTAATGTGTTTTTCATTTTAAACCACAGATTGATGGACAAATCTTTAACATCTCATCAGAACATGAGATTATAACCTTAGTTTTTTTTAATCTATCTGAACGCATAACAATGAAGCACTTCCTTATTATTGGACTATATTATAAATTTAGGTTATGATTTTAAATTCCTGATTTGGACCTTAAACCCAGAGGCGAAACTGTAGTAACGTCACTCAGATCTCCTCAATGGGTCTTAAAAAAAATTGTAACATTTATTTTATGGATCCAAACAGAACTTTGGTTCGAAATAAAATGAGTGCCCTTAAAATATAAAGTATGTTACATTGTTTTGACAGATTCTAAAGAGCAACATATAGTCAATATTCATTTATTACTTGTTGAACATAGTAAGTAAACAATAAGGATAGAAGGCCATGTTTTACAAGCAGTTTTTTTTTTAAAATAAGGTTTTTAAGTTGAACCTGTTCTACTCTGAATCTATTTGCAGGTTAAAAGGTAAGTTAGTGCATCCTATGGCACTAATAACAGTGCATCATAATGAGTTTCACTACTGTGTGAACTTTACGATGTACTTCTAGAATAATGTAAAACAACAATTTGTCTTTATGTAGCACCATCAATGTGTGACATTTCCAATAATGTTATACTTGTAATGGATACTTTTCACTGCAGAATGTTTTGGAACTGATGTCTCTTTAAAAATTGATATTGGCTGCTAAGATAGCGATTCAGAACAAGTGACTTTTGCAACTTCTGAATGGGCTACCTTAAATCTTCACAGATTTTATCGCTGAAGGCCGAAGGCTGGGGTGGTTTCTTTGAATGAACTTACCAAGAAAAGAAAAGCAAAAGAACTGCGGATGCTGTAAATCAGCATCTGTGAAGAGAAATCAGAGTTAACATTTTGGGTCCGGTGACCCTTCCTCAGAACTAATGGTAGCTAGGAATATGTCAGTTTAAATGCGGAAGATAGGGTGGGGGAGGGGGTAAGGAGTAAATGATAGATGGGGATAGAGCTCAAAGAGAGAGAAGAACAGTTGGACAGACAAAGCAGTGGACAACAATTTGGCTATGAGGATGAATAGCTGTTAATAGAGACTGTTAATGGCTAACAATAGGGCTCTAGACTCAAAATCGAGTGCAACTCTCTCATGTTCTGGCCCCCTACTCCACACACTAGGCCTTGTTATCACATAGTCTGCCATTATAAACTACCTATTGTTAGCCACTAACAGTCTCCATTAACAGCTATTCACCCACTGAGCCAGATTGTTATCCCCTCCTTTATCTGTCCAACTGTTCTTCTCTCTTTTTGGGCTCTATCGCCACCTATTGTTTACTCCTTACCTCCTCCCTCCCACCCTAGCTTCTGCATATAAACTGACA